GACGTCATCATGGTCAAAATATAGGGTTTTGCTTACCCCCTCATCTTTCTTTCGTCCAGCCTTTAATGACCCCATAATCACCTTAATCAGTAGTGATTTCTGAATCATATTTAGTGGGTATAAACTTCAGGTCATGGTTAAATGTTATGTACATTATATTTTTGTGTGCGCGTAATAACGCGAGCGTTCGCGTGCGTCAAAATTAATATATGCATTATATCAAGTCTTTTTTTAAATTGGTTATAGCTCCTTAGGATGAAAGGTGACCCCTAACTTTTATTACATATTCTGAAAGCACATCAGCTGTAGATATGATTTTATATAATATAATAGCTGATCGGACATTCTAACGTCATCATATTGCCATCTTGAAGTGAAAAAAACTGAATTTTTATATGATAAATACTATGAATGATCATTACAAAAACAAGAAAAAATTTATATTTCTTTTCTCAAAACGTTGATGACGTCATATCATCTTAACCATTTGTCATTTCTGAATAATATTAAATGGGCTTATACTTCAGATCAATGTTGAATGTTAGGTATCTTACTTTTAATTTCGTGTGCCATTTCTGTACACGCACACATCGTGACAAAAACAAGAAAAAATTTATATTTCTTTTCTCAAAACGTTGATGACGTCATATCATCTTAACCATTTGTCATTTCTGAATAATATTAAATGGGCTTATACTTCAGGTCAATGTTGAATGTTAGGTATCTTACTTTTTTGTTTGTGCGTCTTAAGGTGCGCGTACGCGTGTGTCAAATATTACTTATGCTTATAATTATGCCTATTTATCATCAAACATAGCTCCTAAGGATGAAAGGTGACCCCCAATTTTTATTACATATTCTAAGAGCACATGAGTTGTAGATACGATTTTATAGATCATAATGGCTGATCGGACATTGTGACGTCATCATATTGCCATTTGATTTTTTTTTTTTAATATATATATTTCCTTTCTCAAAACGCTGATGACGTTAAATCATCTTAACCATTCGTCATTTCTGAATAATATTATATGGGCTTATACTTCAGGTCAAAGTTGAATGTTAGGTATCTTACTTTTTTGTTTGCGCGTCTTAACGTGCGCGTACGCGTGCGTCAAAAATTACATATGCTTATAATTAGGCCTATTTATAATCAAATATAGCTCCTTAGGATGAAAGGTGACCCCCAATATTTATTACATATTCTGAGAGCACATGAGTTGTAGATACGATTTTATAGATCATAATGGCTGATCGGACATTGTGACGTCATCATATTGCCATTTAAATTAAGAAAAAACTGATGTTATTACTTTTTATACTCATTGGACGTAACTCGCTTATCTTGATTGATTGTCTCCCACCTGTGAGTATATTATAGCTAAATCAATTCTCTTTCAGACGTGTCCCTTTATTTTTCATTTTCATCACGTTAGCATGGACAAAAAGAATTAATTTTAGGAGCCCTTTTATCTCTCATTCTTAAAAGATGTAAAGAGATAGAACAGAGAGAGGGCGGCAGACTGTATTTCGACGCTATCAGACTGATATATATATATAGGTTATATGAAGAGAAAATTCGTGTGGCATTACCAACTAACAGGCGGCTTTAAAAACACTTGACAATGTTTAATTTCGTGTGCCATTTCTGTACACGCACACATCGTGACGTGCGTGTCTGTTAAAATTTAAAAATTCTCCATATCACTATTCAGATAGTTTAAAGAACGTTTCGGGTCATTTTCAGCGTTCCAAAACTTTCCATATTTACGCGCCATACGTTCATTTCTACGCAAGCAACACGTACTGAAGCTGGAAATCACGTTTGTTGCATACTTTGTGTTCCTGACACATTATTCAAATCAGGAGTCACTTTTTGTGCTATTACCGTGCTCACGGGCGTCAAGACGTACGTGTACGCATGCGTAAATTTTTCAAAATGCTCAAAATTATTCTTTTTTAAAAAACTAATTACAGCATATTTTAGCATATTATGACACTTTTCAATCAGCACCGCGTGACCTTTATAAGGGTCAAAGTACGGCGGATCACCTAACTCGTCCTCAGTGACGAGTTCAAATCTAGTTTATAGTTATCATTATCATTGAAGTATAAACAGGCCTTTAAGGTGAAGTTCTAGGCCTAGGGCTATTCCTAGGGTAGCCGATCATTTCGGTCGCGCCTCACTTCGGTCGCGCCTCATTTTGGTTGCGGTTATTTCGAACAAATATATGGAGCGCCGAAGGAGTTGCGAAAACGCAAAATTTAATATGCCTAGGCCCTATACTGTATATTATTATAATTTTTAGTTCATCAATTGGTTTATCATAGGCCTAAGTATTTTTTTATTTCCGTTTTGCTATCTTTCTACTAACATTTTATTTTTTTACTAACATATTCTGCTTCTTCCATTTACGGTGATATATTCATGATTGAAACATGATCTTATAATTTAAACAATGGAATTTAGTATGTGCTTCATGCTATTCTTTTTGTTGCGTTTTCATCTTTAATAATTATGGTCAATAAAATGTATCTTTAATTTTAATTGAATTGAATGTTGTTACCATTTGAAATCTATTTCATAATTAGTTAAAACAATAATCATTATAATATTTAATACGATATTTTTATACAATAAATTTATTTATTTTTCTTGCAGCTTCCAGATTTTGGATAAAACATACCAAGAGAATTGAAGGAAACACAATTAAAGAAACAAACGAATAATACACACATTATCATTTTTCACTTGAAATCTTTAATTTTCTTTGATACCCATGCGCAGTTCATAAATATGAATATATATTTGGTGATCCGCTAACGTTAGCGGATCACCTATTGTTATTGTACGGAATCATCATCTTCAACTTTCTTATTCTTCTTTCTTTCTCCCCTTTTTTGTTCGCACGATATCTCAAAAAATGCCACAAGTTTACGCACAATCGCTGTCAGCGAACATTTGGCTTGGTCTGGAATAGTCATGGTAAGCTTTTCAACGCGCTCAGTCATGCATGACGTCATGTACGTGCAATTTTGCGTTTTTACATTATCGATCATATCAGCCTAACCAATTGCCATTTCGAAATTGTATTAGTGAGCATTAACTTCGGGTTAATGTTGGATGTACTGTACCCTAATTTTATGCGTGCGTTTCATAATGCGTGCGCACGCGTGCATTTCAAAACTTTCCATAATTTACCCACCGTACGTTCATTTCCAGGCATACAGCACATATTAAAGCTGGAAATCACGTTTTGTTACATACTTTGTGTTCCTGACACATTATTCATATCAAGAGTCACTCCTTGTTCTGTTACCATGCTCACAGGCGTCAAGACGTACATGTACACATGCGGAAATCTTTTAAAATGCTCAAAATTATTCTTTTTTAAAAAAACTAATTACAGCATATTTTAGCATATTATGACACTTTTCAATCATCACCGCGTGATCTTAATGAGGGTCAAAGTGCGGCGGATCACCTAACTCGTCCTCAGTGACGAGTTCAAATCTAGTTTTATTTGTTTTTAAGTAATCTATGTTGTTAGTAGAAAGACAACAAAACATAAATTTAAAAAAGTATGATAAACCGATTGACGAACTTCGAATGATAATTAGGCCTAGTTATATTAAATTTAGCGTTTTCGCAACTCCATTGGCGCTCCATATATTTGTTGAAAACAAACCGTGACCAAAATAAAATGTGACCGAAGTGAGGCACGACCAAAACGGAGCGCGACCAAAATGACCTGCATTCATTCCTAGGCCTAAGCAACCTTGGTAGCTAGATACAAAACCGATAGAGGGCGCTATAGATCGGCAATACAAACATCGCGATAGAATATAGTGCCCCGACGGATATAGGATATCCAATGTATTAATTGGGTATTTCGTGGAAGTATACACCAATTTGACCGAATTACTTCCAGATAACTCTCCAGAAATGATTTCTGGACCAAGTTATTGGCTTTTTAAGCGCGCGAATCGCTTTAAGAGAAGTTTTTTTAGTACAACCAATGTTTCGTCGATTTTCAATAATAAAAGGAAACCTTCGCTAGTTTTTTGGTTAACATGTTTGTTTTCTTCAGTTTTTAAACTATCAAGATAAGTAAGTTTTCAATAATATTTGTGTGCATATTAATTGAAATGGATGGCATAAATTATATTGTCTTATCACTTACCGCAGCTAGGCTCGGCTCGTACGAATAATTAATTTGCGGCGGCTACATGCAGGGTAAACGATGTTTTCCCCGCTGGCAACCGTGTTGTCTGAGGCCTTCAATTAGGCCTAGAGTTATGCGATTCAATACAATTTGTTATACGTAGAATCTATAAGTTGATAAAAATCATTAAATCTAATATAAATATATATACTAAAATACTAAATTATAATCATTAGTAATTGTCAAGTATTATTTTAACATGACCTAAAATGCTACATAATTATACTGTAAGGGACACACTTCTTGTATAATAAAAACAATAGGAATTAAACTCCAGCAAAAAACATATTTAAAATAGCAATATCTCCGCTAATATTGGTCCGATTTACATAATTTTTGTTTTAAAATGCTTCATTCAGTTATGTCTTTCTATTAAAAATAAATAAAAAAATATTTGGGACATTTCAATTTTTTTTTGTTTCTAACTAGGCCTAGCCTTGGTTACTAATTACTACTACCCACTGGCACTAGGCTTAAACCTAGGCCTAGGCTTAAACTAGCCTACTTCTGTACTAGGCCTAGCCTAGGCCTACTCCTACTAGCCTAGGCCTATCTAATACTTAGGCCTAGGCTAGGCCTACACTTGTCACAAAGCCTTTAGGCCTAGACACAGTTCAGTTCTAGGCCTGGCCTAGGCCTAGCTAGGGCCTGCTACTAGCTACTGGGTCTTAACAATAACATGGCTAGGGACTAAATTTTTATTTATTAGAAATTTGACTAAGATATTTTAAGTCATCTGTCGAATTTGTCAACTGGAAACACTTCGTAACATACCCCCATATGTTCCGTCTTTTCATATCATCACCAATTCTTGAAAAAAAAGTTTCTCCAATCATCAGCGCTGCCGCTCTTGTTCTCTCTAATGTAAAGAGAGTCGTCTGATTCAGGGCGGGTTGCCAGATAGTCGACAGGCTTCACGATCACGGCCAAACCAACACACGCCATCTCACGGCCAAATTCGGCCAAACTTTTTTTTCGATATCGGCCAAAATTCGGCCAGATTTTAATCCGATTAGAAGACAACAGTGGGTACATATTCATTTGAAATACTACACAAATTACACGAAAATAAGCGATCATTCGTTTGGAATTGAAGAAATTCAAATGATATACACAGAACAATGTTAAACTTCCACTGTTTTTCTTCTTTTAATTACCACCATAAAATACATGCCCAGCTATATCATAATATTAAATAGCCTCTAAAAAAGGGTAAAGGTAGGAGAATAACCCATAACTTGAAGCGTCATTGTGCTGAATTGCGTATGGGCGTGGTCCGTGACTACCTAGCAGCCGTAAAGAGGCGCTTCATGGTAGATACATGTTCATCATTCCACAACGACAATGTTCTTTAGTTGCTGGTGTCACCTCGTTTTGAGAATAGACAATTGACACGTTAGCCAGTGACTGCGCACACGCATACAGTACACGTCGTACAAGTGAATAATAGTCAACATAAAAACATAGTTATAAATTCAAATAAGGTGTTTAATAAAATAATATGTCGAACATTCAGTTCGCATCATAATACCCTGCGCTATATACAGATGAGAAGCCAAACATGTGACGTTCTCCCAGGTATTCACTACTTGTCACACCATACAAGTTGGTTCTGAATGAGATAATATCAGCTCTTACTTCAGCTGCTTGAAACCTTCAATTTCTTCTTAAGTCAGCCTGTCGTTGGAGTTCAAGCTGTACTCCTCTGACCATGGTCAAACTAACTCCACTTGGCTCTTACATATGAGTTGCACAATACTGTGATGCTCTTAGCTATCACCATATATCATTTAGGTAGGCTTCACTATGCCTCTTAACTTTGCTTAATCTTTGGTGCACCTTAATAGCTGACATGTCCCTGCTTGGATCATATTCCACAGCTTACACCCTTCCATTAAGCCTTTCCTTATGCAACCAAGGTAATTTAACAAAAGGACGCACATCTCGGGACATCAAAGGTTATAACTCTGGCATCGACATTCTATGCGCACGTGCGTCCCTACACGCTGAACGTCACAAAAACCATAGCAACCAGACCATAAA